CGAAGCATATCGTTCTGCGCTACTTCCTTGCTCGAGAGCTGCAGCAGCGCGGTCAGCTTCGTCTGCGTTACGTGGCCACTCGGGCCAACACTGCTGATGTGTTCACCAAGGCGCTTCAGCCTTGTGACCATCAGCGCTTCTGTACTGTTCTAGGCCTCGTGCCTACTGGGCCTCACTTGCTTACTTCTTGACTCTGCTTGTACTGTGATCTCTATATATATACCTACTTGTTTACTCTTGCTAGGTTGTGATCACTGTATCTCTTGTTATACTATCAACCTGCATGTGAACTGGTCTTGTGACCACTTGCTTGTGCTCAGAATTTGTGTGGTTTCCTTGAGATCCACCCTGAGCTTGCTTTGCTTTGCTTTGACTGGTCTTGTGACCATCTGGTTGTCTCCCACTTAGCCTATGGGGGTGTGTCAAACATTATATGTTCATATTGTGTAGGCTATAGTGGGTTTAGCCTTAGGGGGTACAGCTTTGTTAGGGTTTCCTACTTGTATCCCCCTCCTACCTAGTTTCATTCATTCTCGTTCTATTCTAGATTCTAACACGGTGAGGTCAGAGCGGTGCTTGTACTGCTGACGAGGCAGGCGCTTGGTGAGGAAGTCCGCTGCCATCTCAGTAGTCGGGCAGTAGGCGAGGTCAACTTTTCCTTGGTCAATTTCGTCCTTGACGAAAAAGTACCGGAGTGCGATGTGCTTCGTGCGGTTCACGAAACCTGGCACTCTGGTTGTCGTAGTGGAGGCGAAAGGTTGGCGAAATTGGAATTTTCGCCTCTTGTAGCAGCTCCTGTAGATACAGGCCTTCGCGAACTGCTGCTGTCGCGGCGATGTATTCTGCTTCAGCCGATGACAGGGCAACCAGCTCCTGCTTCTGTGAGTTCCAGGAGATTGGCCCAGTAGGTTCCAGGCGAAAAAACAAAGCCCGTTCGGGACCGTCGATTTGCGGGATCACCTGCGTGATCTGCGTCTACGTAGCCGTTGAGGTTGAAGGAGGTCGTCGTCAGCGTGGAGTAGGAGAGCCCGATGTCAGGTGTGGAGATGAAGTACTGCAGGGCGCGCTCCAGGTCCAGCTGGTTCTCTGCTACTGGCTTGCGATAATACTGTGCCAGTTGGCTAGCGATGTACGAGAGGTCGGGTCGGCAGGTGACAGAGGCGAATAGCAGACACCCCAACTTCTGCTGGTACATTTGGAGTCCTGTGGGTGACAGAGGTTTGTTGTCCGGTTTGTAGTTGGCGCTGGGGTTGCGGTAGGGAGTTGAGAGTCGTGCGGGTGAGATGTTGAAGCGTTCCCCCAGCTGCTCTGCGTACTTGGAGGCTGACAGATGGATTGCTTCTGGCGAGTATGTGATATTCAGCCCCAAAAACTGCTTTACGTTGTGGTTGATGGTGATGTCCACGCGCTGCGCTAGGTTCTCCTCAAACTAGTTAAGGAGTTTGTTGCAGGTGCCTGTGTACAGCAGGTCGTCGACGTAGACTGTCAGGAGGATGTAATCGCCGCTGAAATGAAGGCGATACATTCCCGGGTCGTGTGGCAGCTGCTTGAAACCGATCTCCAGGAGAATTTTGTGCAGATGCTGCTGCCAGAGTCGAGGCGCCTGCTTGATCCCGTAGAGGGACTTCTTCAGTTGACAGACCCTGGGATCACCTTCTCCGTAGGTGTGCGGCTGTTCCACGAAGATGGTAGCATCCACCAACGCGTATAGGAACGCGTTTTTCACATCGATCTGTCGCAGTGGTAGGTGCTTAGCGGCGGCAATGGCGAGTAGGATTCTGACGGAGGTGTGGCGACTGACGGGAGCGAAGGTCTGGTCAAAGTCGATGCCGTGGCGCTGATCGTACCCACGTACGACCGTGCGTGCCTTGAACCGCTCGATGGTTCCGTCAGCGTTAGTCTTCAGGCGAAAAACCCATTTTCCGCTGAGTACCCTTCTCCCCTTCACTGCTGCACGATCGACTAGGACCCATGTTTCTCGCGATTCCAGCGCTTTCAGCTCCGCATCCATCGCTGCACGCCACTCCTTGGCGTGAGGACCGGTCAGAGCCTGGCGAGGATTCTTTGGTTCCGCGGCCCGTGCGAGAGTAGTTACGGACGTGTGTAAACCGAGTAGTTGTAGGCCGGACACATTGGTGGTGTCTGTGTTGGTGGGAACTTCCACCACGTCGTCATCTCCGCTCTCGTAACCGGGTGTTGTGGTGCTTGCCTCTGCTTGGTGCCGTGATGGACCTGGCGCGGGATTGTCGTCACTGTCATCGTCGTCGTCGTCGTCGTCGTGCGGGCGAGGCGGGATGCTGGGATGTTCGTCGGTGTCGTCGCGATCCAGTGCTGCTGCTGCTGCCTCGTCTTCTGGAGTCGCGAAGCTGCGACCGCTGTTGACGTAGCCGCGTGCTTCGTTGCGCCGCTCGTCCTTGATCCACTGCTTCAAGGTGAGTCTCTCGTAGAAGAGGATATCGCGCGCGGGAACAACCTCCTTGCTGTCCATGTCGAGGATGAGCCAACCCTTGTGCTCATTACTGAGGCCAAAGTGAATACCCCATCGTGCGCGATGAACGAATTTGCCGATTGTGGCCGAGGTCGGCCGATATTGCACCATGCACCCCCAGACCCTGAGCATGGAGGGGTCTCCCCTTGAGCCGGTCCACTTCATGTGAGGGGACAGGTTGTCCCTGTTGGCGGTGGTGGAGAGTAGGTTGTGCAGGCGCACCGCGTGGTTCATGGCGTAAGGCCAAAACTTCTTGGGTAGGCCGGACTGGTTCATGAGGGCGCGGACTTTTGTCATGAGGGTGCGGTTAACCCTCTCTGCGACGCCTTGCTGCTGGTGAGCGTAGGGGAGTGAGATCTCATGCTTGATCCCCTTTTCTGTAAGAACACTCTCCAGCTCGTTGCTGCGAAATTCCTTGGCCCCGTCACTTTGCCAGATCTTCAACTTCCTTCCTGACTGTCGCTGTGCGTGCGCGAGGAAGATGCGGAACACTTCCGGAGCTTTGGAGCGAGCATCGACGTTGGCGACCCACACATGGCGCGAGTAGGCGTCGATGAGGTGAGGGTATATTTCTCGCCGTTGATGCCGTCAAAGGTGAGCACGATGAAATCGCTGTATACTTTCTCCAACTTCTTGTAGCGGTTGGTGCTTGGCTCCAAGGAGGGGTAGGCGCTATGGGTGAGCGCGGCTGTGGGGCAGACAGTGCAGGTGACTGGGTGAGGGGTGTTGTGCGGTTCCGTTCCGTCGGGGCGCAGCAGTGCTCCTGGCGGAAAAACTTTAGCACGGAGGCAGTTGGCGAGGGTCTGGCGCGAGGGGTGTCCCAGCCGCTGGTGCCAGAGATCATCTTCGGCGCGGATGCCGGAAGTGCGCTTATAGCGTGCAAGGTATTCTGCCGCTTCTGCTTCCGTGACTTGCGGGATCTGGAGTGGAGGTTCTTCCTCTTCTCCTGGTTCTGCTTCGTTGTCCGGCTCCTCTGCTTCTGCTTCTGCTTCCCCCGTTGTTTCTCCTTCTGCAGGTGCCGTTGTGAGGTAGAGGGCGAGGAATTCGCGGTCGGGGATGATGGTGAGCGGAGTCGTGGTGCCTTCAATGAATCGAGCGAACGGATCTGGGCGGGAGATTGGACCAAGTGAGTCCCGCGGAGGAGTTGGCGGTACATTCCCCTCCTCAATCTCCGACCATCGATCACGCCACCGATAGGGGGAGGAGGGAGGTGAGCGGGTGCGCGGGGGTCGTCCGAGTGGAATGGCGACGCGAGGTGATTTTTCTCCGCGCTCAGCCCTCATCTCTCGTTCGATCTCTTCTTCTTCTTCTTCTTCTTTGGTGAGCTGAGCATCCGCGTATTCGTCTTCTCCCCATCCGCCGGTGTTGCCCCATCCTCCTGTGGTGACTGCGCCGCTGGCGCCAGCTCCCCATGCTCCAGTGGCGGATCCCCAGGTTGCTCCATCGCCTTCTTCTGGTTCGTAATCCTCATCTCCCCATGCGCCTCGTCGTGCTGTCTCCTCGTCCCATCCAGCCGCGACACGTTCCTCAAACAGTTTCGGTTTCTTTTCCGCCCGGGCCTTGTCTTCTTCTTCCTTGACGCTTAGCTCCTCTGGTGCGTCAGGGTCTTTCCAAGCCGGGTCAATTTCGCGGCGGTAAACTTCACGAGTGTGCGGACGTGGTCGTCCATCTTCATCGAAGGTGGTGGTGTTAGCTTCCAGGATGAACCGGAGATTTTCCGAGGATGTGGCTCCTCGCTCCTCTCGCGGAATTCCGAGTTTGTCATTTGCTTCGCCGAAGATGCGGTAAGATGACACAGCAAGTTCTTCTTCCGTCATGCCAGTTGGTTCTGCCTCGGCGCTCTCCGCTTCCTGGATTGCCGCGTACTCCCTTTCGACTTGTTCTGTGCGGCTCGCCGTGGGAGTGTGGCAGGTGGTGCAGAGTCCATTGATATCTGGCTCGTGCAGATTGACCTCGCGAGGGTGAGGGCTGCGGCGCACCCATGGTCGTCCGTCCGGATGCTCCCATGATTCCTTGTTCATGAAGGCAAACTCGAGGGGAACAAGGTCCACGAGCTCGTCTGATGATGCTTGGCAGGAAGGTACGTCGAAGTCCAGGATATAGATCCCATTGATTGAGCGGGCGCGTCCGAGGTACTTGAACGACTCGGGGGGTGTGTCTGGGGGAGCGTAGGTGAGTATGAGGTCGCGCGTGGCAAGATCTGTGTGTATTATGACACCACAGTCGCGGAGTTGTCCAGCCGAGAGCAGATTGAAGCGGAGATTCGGGACGTAGAGTACGTCGTTGAATGAGATGTGTGTGTTGCTGTCTCGTGCTTGCAGAACGACAATGCCTTGTGAGTTGGCGCGCAGCTGCTCGTTGTTGGCGTGCGCGTGAGGGGACGGCAAGCATACGAGGCAACACAGTAGCAACTACAGCACCGGGATACACACATGGCAAGAGCGGAGTCCTAATAAAGGGGCGGTAATGGGGCAACAAGAGAATGCAACAGGGGAAGAAGCCCCGGCGGATACTAGTATTGATCCGCGTCGTGAACAGCAAGAAGCCCGGTCTGAGAGCGGTGAAGCTCCCGCACCACCATCGCGCTTGCGCCGATCACTTCGTCTCCAGTTCCTGCGCGCAGGACCCGCTTCAACCCACAGACAGCCGTTCCAAGCTGCCCAACGCCCGCAATTACACCCCGCGCGGGCGCAGCCAGCACGGGCGCCAGGAGCTCGGCGAGCCGATCCGCCGCATCAAGGCACTCGTCCCGAGGGCCTCCATCCAGGGAATTCCCCTGGAACAGAGCAGCATGACCGTACACCTGGATCAGGTGGACAGCACGAAGGGCCTCACAGAGTCGCCACAACTGCGCCAAGCTCGCTTCCGGGACCTCAGCCATGCGAGGAGGCCCAGGCAAGGTCGGGAGGATCGGTGCATCGAGAGCAGACGGGGGAGCGGGATCAGCAGGCAGCAGAGGCGGGTACTGTGCCGTCACCGCTCCTCCTGCCGCAGTCACAAATTCCAGTCCCGCCACTGGAGGAACCCACGGTAGCCGCAAGCGGCGATCACGTACGGCAGCAGAGGCGGCAGGAACGGAGGGAGCCTGAGCAGAGGCAAGAGGAACGGGAGCGACGGCCTGACGTGACGGAGCGACAGTCACAGGAGGAACGGCCGGAGGAGGAGACGCAGGAGCTGGAGCACGGCGCTGCACCGCCCTCTCCTCGCGTATCGCCGCTGAGACAACACGTTGCACGTCCGATCCGCCGCCATAACCGCGACCTCCCGCCCATCCCCCGCGACCGCCACGTTGTGCATGCCAGTTCGCCTGCGAACGGTTGCGCCGGGGAGAATCACGACGGCGTCGCGACGACTCCCGCTCCTCACGAGGCGCAGGAGAATGCGGGCGAGAGGAGCGCTGGCCCTGCTGCTGACCCACAGGTGCAGCAACAAGCGCCGCCTGGATGGCCCCCGCTGGCGCCACATTCGGGCCCGGGCCGCCAGTGGTGGCGGACACCGCCATTGGCGACGAACCAACAGCCGCGTCGAGGGCAACAGGGACAGCAACGGCGGGCAGTGCCGCAGGGAGTTCAGGCACGAGCGGAGCAACCCCAGGTTCAGCAACTGCAGGCGGTCCCGCAGAATTCACAGGGGCAGCCGGCGGACCAGGCGCAGAGGGCGCAGGTCCCGCAGGAGGGCCCGGCTCAGCAACGGGGGCAGACGGGGCAGGCAGGAGAGGCGCCGGAGCCTCACACGACACGACGTCCGGAGCCGGAGACGCAGAGTCAACAGCGACCGCGGGCGCTGGCTTCGGGGCAGGGGGGACTGGTGGCTTCAATGCAGCATTCCCCGAGGCAGACATCGGCGGTGACCTTCCGCTCGCCGCTGACACAGCGGCAGCGGGCTTTGGCGATGGCCACGGGTCGCCAGCAATCACCATCGCGAGGCGGGAGGAGATGAGGAGGAGGACGCCGCGAAGGACGCGGAGTTGAAGGCGGACCGGAGAACGCGTTCCAGGCGGCGGCACGAAGGGCTTTAATGCAACTCGACGAGAATATTGACCCAGAGGAGCAAAACGACCCGTCTTATAGAGAGGAAGCACAAGAGCCGAGCGAGGAGGAGGACGAGGAGGATGAGAGAGAACAGACGACGGGACGAAGTGGAGGGAACCAGAGAGGATCGGGGGTGCAGGCAGAAGGCGCTCAGGGACCACAGGATGTGGATCCGACGGTCACCATTCCAAACCTGCCCTCAACTCGTACTTCGAGCCGCGGGCGCACAAATCGAGCAGCTAGGGGTCTGGCAAATGCGGCTTGCGAGTCCCAAAATCCGCGCTATTTTTCGCCGGAGGAGCTGGTGAGGCAGACGGAAAAATTCGCCGAGGTGGCGGGGTGGGACATTTCGCCACTCTGCGATAGTCGCCAACCTACTCTGTTACGACGACTATCGCCAAACTTGTGCGAGATCTTCTCGCTCGCAGTGCTGACACCACTACTGCACCTCTCGCGAAGCCCAGACTCCATCGCGGGTTGGAAGTTACTCTTATTTCTCCCGCGCAGACTCTGCGACAGGGTTCGCCGAAACGACCTGATTGGCCCAAAATCAAGGCACGGCTCCGTGCTTTTCAACGCGGCGAGTGGCAGCAGCTGTACTTGGACGCGGTTGAAGCAGTCAACACACCACCCCCTCCACGTCATCAGCCTGACGACGTGGGCACCATCAGCAGAGCGGAGGGCCTGGCAAAGAAAGGGAGTCTGGGCCGGGCCGTGTTGGCGCTCGAGTCAACACCAGTCTGTACGCCCAGCCCAGAGACTCTGGAGGAGCTTCGCCGAAAACATCCCGCAGCCGATCCTGAACCCCTGACCTGGCCTGACATCACCGAACCTCCCAACCTTGAAATTTCCTACGCGGATTTTTCGAAAATGCTCAGTCGATGCCAAAACGGCGTCAGGGCCGGCCCGAGTGGAATGACATTCGAACATCTTCGCGACTCGTCAGTAACCAACGCATCTGTCTCGACCCATCTGCACGCCTTAGTAAATACGATACTAAGGGGGAATCTGCCGCTGCCAGTTGCAGAACTGCTCACATCATCTCGCCTGATAGCTCTGGCCAAGCCAGAGGGTGGGGCCCGCCCAATCGCGATTGGAGAAAGCCTGACCCGCCTGACTGCAAAAGCTGCGCTGGCAGCCCTGGGCGAAGCGGCACGGGGTTATTTTCTCCCTTTTCAGTATGGTGTAGCTGTGCCAGGAGGGGCGGAGGCAATCATCCACACCGCTCGAGCATACACGGATGCACACCCCAACTGCCTTACGCTACAGACAGATATTTCCAACGCCTTCAACAGCATATCGAGACAAGCCATCATAACAGCTTTACAAGACCCGACACTCTCACCCCTACTGCCACTAGTCAAGCTGACATACGGCCACCCATCATCTCTATACCTAGACGCTAGCTTCAGTAGCGCACCACTGAGAAGTGAACGCGGGGTGCGACAAGGGGACCCCTTAGGTCCGCTCCTGTTCGCGGCTGGGATCCACCCCGCTTTAAGAGAAACGGCAGCAGCACATCCCGGCGTCCTATGCCTGGCATACGCCGATGACGTCAGCTTCTTAGGCGAACACCGTGATACCGTAGCTGCCTTTTTGCACTTCACGAGCCAATTATCCCAAGTAGGTCTGCGTCACAACCCCGGGAAATGTGTCGCATGGAGCAAACACACGATAGACCAGGAAGTGCAGCTGCCGCCCGGGGTGCCGACTAGTACTGAGGGTGTCCGGCTTCTCGGTAGCTTCTTAGGAACACCAGACGGTGCCGCCTCCTTTCTGTCCGCGCAGCTCCAGTCGATGTCCAAACCACTGCCACTGATAGAACGAATGGACCCGCAAGTCGCATCGCTCCTACTCACTCGCTGCATCTCACGCCGAGTAGCGTATCTCACGCGAACGACCCCTCTGCATCTTCTGGACAGGGACACCTGGTCTCAGTGGGGTAGGGACCTACTGACCACCCTCCTTACAGCATGCGGCATCCGCTTACCAACGGACGGAGAAGAACAGACCCGGGTTTGGGAGCAGTCGTCACTCCCACCGTCGCTTGGGGGCATAGGACTCACAGACCCGACGGTGGAGGGATCATTTGGCTTCCTTGCCAGTTTTACGCAAGCATCCCTCCTCCTTAGTGCCCTGCCGATAGAGTCAGAAGGGGCCTTGACTGCGGCGAGGAATCACATGCGGCTTCCGCGAGATAGCACCACCGCTCTGCACAGCTGGCTGACCGAATGCGAGAGAGCACTGCCGCAGGAGGCCAGGGACGTCCTAGATAAGGAAAGACTCGAGCCTTCAGATCTAAAGCTGCAGCACGAGCTCGGGGTGAGAGTGCAGGGGAGGAGATATGCCAAACAGATACAGGCAACACGGCGCATGCGACTGAACCCATTGTCAGGCCATACCCAACGATTTTTCTCACTGACCGGCTACGGCACGGGGAACTGGCTGACTGCAATCCCAATTGAACATACCCGCAGAGTAGGTCCCGAGCACTTCGCCAATGCCGTCCGCTTTAGACTGGGGCTTCCCTTCTCTACACCCAAAAACTGTGACTGCTCTAAGCATGTAGAGATCAAAGACCCACGGCTGCCGAACCACCTCTTCCGCTGTGGCACGGGCAAGCACAGAATCAACACCCACAATGAACTGAGGGATGCGTGTATTACGATGGTGCAGGACGCTGGCTTCATAGTTCATAGTGAATCAGCTGCATACTGCCCCATAGAAGAGCAGACCGCCGACTTCACCATGCGTGATAAGAGCTCGGGGGCGGTCTACGCCTATGATGTCACCATCACGGATCTCATTAGCACTAGGGACCCCAATGCTACTAAGGGGAGGGGATGGGCAGCAAGGGAGCAGGCTGACAAGAAAATCGGCCACTACGTTAACCGGCCTGACTCGGCCGGCTTCTTCCCCCTTGCAGTTGAAACTTACGGCTTCCCCTGTGCGGAGGTCCCTAAACTTCTGAAGTTACTAGCGGATACAGCTGCTCGGCGCCACTTCAACGCCCAACCTACCTCTCACCATGCAGCTCGGTTCCTTCACCTCTTCAGGCAACGCTGGTCCGTGGCTCTGCAAAGAGCCCAGTCTGTGGGATATCTCATGAAGTCCTCTCAAGCGGCAGTCGCTGAAAATCCACCCGTGGGGGGGGTGCAGTCCGAGCTTCACCTTGGGGACTGCTGTACCGTGCTAGAGCCTCTCATGGAGGTGTAGAGAGACACTTGTGCTTTGTTTGTTAGTTTCTGTGCTTGTTTGCCTCTAAATCCTAGCTATAGTTTGCATGATTGTACCCTTTGGTTATATCAATACACGGACCATTAGAGAGAGAGAGAGAGAGAGAGAGAGAGAGAGAGAGAGAGAGAGAGAGAGAGAGAGAGAGAGAGAGAGAGCGAGAGAGAGAGAGAGAGATGGCCAAGGACTAGTCCTTAGCCGTTTTAGCCCTCTCTAGTGTAGATTCCAGTCCTTAGCCGTTTTCCAGCCTAGTTTCCCAGTATAAAGCCTCTAGAGGCACCCCTTTGAGCTCATTCTTCACTGGTGAGTTCAGTTTACTCTCCAAAAACGGCGGCTCGCGCCGGCCGCCTCCGGCGGCCGTCGCTCGCCGGCGCGGCCTCCGGCCGCGCGTGAGGTGTGACAAGGGTGGAGGGAAACAAGGAATATAAAGGCAAGCAATACAACATGCAGTAGCGGCAACCTACTCCAACAGCAACACCCCCAGGCGTGGACTAACCGCCATGGGGATGCCCAAGCCCAAGCCTAACAACAACAAGGCTGGCGAAGGGGACGCAATGCCTACTCTACAAGGAGCCACACCAGCCGGCCGTCCAGCCAGCGCAGCACGGATGCCGCGGCCGGAAGCAAGCCGAATGGACCCTGCTGAGCACACGCTACCAGGCGCCTCACGACAGCGGGCCCAGGGCAAGCGGCAATCCCGGGAGACCCCATATCCAGCCCCAACTGTGGGAGAGATTCCAGCACCTCGTCCGCTGCAGCAGCAGCCAGCTCCCGCTCCCCCGCTGCTAGAGGCGGGCACTTCACCTTGCGGCGCGCCAGGCACGCGTGGAGCTGATCCAGAATCGTTGCCACCTGGTTCAGGCAGTAGCCTGCGGTCACTACGTGATGCTCGACGAGCAGCAGCCTCGCCGCAGGTGAACGTTCCTCCCACTGGCTCCAGCGCTCGTCAAGGGTTGGTGCAGGCGGCACAACGGGGCCTTCTCCTGCCACTGGGTACCCCAGCACGTCCCACGGAATTGGGATTTGACGGCCGCCAAGAAACAACTGCGGATACCCCGCCGGCACTGCTGGCAGAGCAGTCAAGGCGGAGGACTGAGGAGGTGGTGGCGGAAGAAGGGGAGCCGGCGCAGAGCTGGTCGGCGGCGGCGGCGTCAACGGCTGTACCTGGTCCGCCGGCGCTGCTGGAGATAGCTGCGCCTGTGTGGCCAGCGGAGGGGGAGGGGGCTGAACCGGGGACTGGAGAGGAGGTGGAGGTGGCGCCTGAGATCGCCGCTGTTGCTGGCGCTGGCGTCGGCTCATTTTCGCCCACTGCCATGGAGACTGTCGCACTACCTGCGCATACGACACGGGCGGAGGTGGAGGTGCAGGGACAAGCGGGAGAACACGGGCGGGCGCAGGAGCAGGAGCGGGGGGAGGAGCAGGGACAGGCGGAGGGATCGGCGGCGGCGGCGGGGCCACCTGAACTGGCGGCTGCAGCTGCGGCAGTTGCAGAGGAGGTACGCGAAGTCGATCTGGCCGAGGAGGTCGGTGCGGCTGACGCTGCGAGCGCCGGAACGTCTGCTGCTGCCGCGGACGCAGGCACGCAGGGGCGCGGCCAGGGGGGGAGTGATAGACAGCCTCGCGGGAACGGTGCTGCTGCCCACGCCGCCCGCGTGAAGGCCGGGAAGAAGCTCCGCGCCCAGCCAGCACCGAGGCGGCCCGGAGCAGGGCTGGGACCTAGCGTCCCGGGACCCCTCCTGGGCTGGCTTCTGCAAGGGCAGCCGCCACAAGCGCAAGGGCGTCCACCTCCATCTGGAGCACAGGACACAGAAGAGAACGTGGGAGACACGGGCATCAGAAGGGCGGAACCCATGCCAGAGGCCACGGGTGACAACACGATAAGAGTACCACGAGAAGTACCAGTGGAAGCTCCACAAGAGATACCGCAGCGGGAGACCAGGAGCTCCACACGGGCGAGGGGTTTTACCTGGGGCCGGCCAAGGGAAGGCCAGATGACCCAAGCAAACGCACCGTGGATACCGGCGGGAAGAACGCCGCAAATCGGGCTGGGCGGGCGGAACACCGCGATCCAGGCTCGGGAGGGCGCGGCAACCAGGGGAGCACGAGGCGGAGGGAGAGGGGCGAGAGGCGGAATGGGAGGGAGAGGAGCGATCGTGGGCGGAAGAGAGGCGGTCGTGAGATTGGGAACGTGGCGGGAACGCCTTGATCGCCCGGAACAGGTGGTTCCAGCAGCGAATCACGAGGAGGCAGGCTCTGAAGATGCTGATGTCGGAGGGAACTATGAACCCTCAGATGAACACGCCTCCGAAGAATGTTCCCTGGAGGAGGAGACTGGGGAGGGGATAAGAGAGGCTCGGAGAAGAGAGGATGCAGGAACAAGGACAAGAGAGGGAAACCAACCTGCCGTGCCAATAGTCCCAGGTCCGGCAGCTGGGGGGGTTGCTGCACCAAGCGTCCGCTCACCATCCGACCTGGCAGGAGATGAAGCCATCTGGCAACAAGCATCCACGTGGGACCCTGCACAAATGCAACGTGGGGACCAACCCTTCCTGGTCCGCCGACTTCCCCCACAGGTGTTGGACTCCTATGTACTCTGCATCCTGGCCCCACTTCTGCGGCTCGAAAAGAATCCGGACTGCCCAGGTGCCTGGATGGTCCTTCAGTTTCTGCCGAGGCTGACCCTACGACCACCACCCGAACCAGTTGAAGGGAGTCGATGGACAGGTGTGGAAGATCGCCTGCACCAATTCCAACTGGGCAGGTGGCGCGAACTTTTTGAAGAAGCGAGTGTCGTCCCCGACATTGGGGACTCGATACGACACCAGGCAGATGACGCGGGGTTGTGTGCTCGAGCGGAGGGACTGGTTAAAAAAGGAAACATTTCAAAGGCGGTTGCTGCGTTACAAACTACTCCACTCGCAGAAGCCAACCCTGAAACCCTCGCAGCCCTGCAAGCGAAGCATCCTGAAGCAACATCGCCACTGCCCGGTTTGGTAACAGGACACACACGCGCAACTATCAGAGTGACGGCTGACGACCTGCGCAAAATCCTCGCGAAGTGCCCGAATGGTGTGGGAGCGGGACCATCTGGAACTTGTTTTGAACACCTCACGGATCCTGCTCACGCCAAGGAAGAGGTGTTGATTCTCCTCGCTAAGGCAGTAAGCCACCTGCTTAGCACGTACCAGACCCAGGCGGTACGCGACTTAGTGCTTCCATCGAGGCTGATAGCATTGGAGAAACCGGGAGGAGGGGTGCGCCCAATCGCGATAGGGGAGACCATCCTTAGGATCACGGCGAAAGCGGCTCTTAGGGAATTCTCGCAAAACATCCGTGACTTCTTCCTCCCCGTGCAGTTTGGCGTCGCGGTTACGGGAGGAGCGGAATGCATCATCCATTCCGTGAGATCGCTCCTCAAAGATGATGACACACGGATCGCGCTGCAGCTTGACATAGAAAATGCCTTCAATAGCGTGGAACGGTCGGCATTTTTCATGTCACTGGCACAGTCTAGTCTGCTACCGCTCCTCCCGTTCGTCCGCACACTGTACGGTGGACCCTCGAGGCTCCTTGTGGATCAGCGGCTTGGCGTCGACCACATCAACAGCACACGAGGAGTACGCCAAGGGGACCCACTAGGACCCCTCCTCTTCGCAGCAGCAATCCAGCCAACGCTCTTGGGGGCCGCGGCATTCTACCCAGACGTGGCAATAGTTGCCTATGCGGATGATATCACGATCGTGGGCCCCCGAGAATCTGCCTATGAGGCGTTTAACAACATCATGACGGGGCTAAGTCTGTTGGGACTGCGGTGTAATATCACCAAGTCTTCAGCTTGGGACAGAAACCTGGAAGCAGAGAGCGACACAGCGCCACCACAGGGACTGCCAAGGAATGCGGACGGCATACAAGTCCTGGGCAGCCCCATTGGCTCGGCTGATTTCTGTGCAGACCGGGCTCAGGCACGACTCAATGAGGCAGCGGCAACACTGCCGCTGATCGCACAGTTGCACCCACAGTACGCCATGCTTATCCTCTCGAGAAGCATCTCCCGCAGAATATCGTACCTGCTCCGGACTACACCGGCGGAAATCCTGGAGAGGGAGGGATGGAGGAGGTGGAGCGAGACCTTACTGGAGGCGGCATTTGCGGCGGCAAAGCTAAGGATCCCGGCAGGCGAGCTGGAGCAGAGCTTACTCTGGCGCCAGGGCACACTGCCGGTCAGGCTTGGGGGGCTTGGCATCATTGACCCCACCTCAGAAGCGCCGGCCGCGTACATCGCCTCGGTGACGGCAGCTCAACAGCTACTGCGCCAGATGAACCTGCAGGACTCCTACCTCCTGAAAAGAGCGGTCACCCTCCTGGACTATGCATGGACCCCAGACCCCCCCATGGTCAACCAGTTGCTGGCCCTTGAGACAGGCCTCCCCACAGCGGCACAGACAGCACTGCAAGAGCACAGGAAGCGACCGATGGGGCTGGGAAACCTGCAGCAGACGCTAAGCCGGCACATCAACGAGAGGCGGGCGGCAGAGCTACTGGCAGATACAATTCAGGACAGACCGGGGACGGATAGGGGACATGCTGTGCGCCTCATCAGCCTGCAGGGAGTAGGAGCGGGGGATTGGCTACATGCTGTGCCAACCAGAACTGACCTTACATTTGCCCCTGGTCAGTTCTCGTTGGCACTGGGATTCCGCCTAGGCATGAGGCTGCCAGTCACTGTGAAGTGCCCCTACAAGCGTGGCAACTCAGACATCACAGACACGAGCCTCCCCAATCATCTCCTACGTTGCGAGGAAGGAGGGGACGTGGTCAGAACACACAACGCTCTAGTTTACGCTGCACTCAGGATGGCAAAGGAAGCTGACTTCACCGTCTTCCACGAAACAACTGCCTTCTCCCCCCCGGTCATCAGGAAGAGGGGAGACTTGGCCATTCGAGACAAGGAGTCCAATGAAACGTGGGTGACCGATGTGACAGTAACGGACCCTGTACTACAACGATGAGACACAAGGGCATGGAAACCACCCGGGTGGGCAGCTAGGGAGGCGTCTGAGGGGAAGCACAGAATCTACGAGGGCAGGCCTGACTATGTAGGTTTCTTTGGGCTGGCGGTAGAGACCTACGGTGCCTTGGCGACGGACACGCAACAGTTTCTGCGCCTGCTAGCAACATCAGCGGCAAAGAAGAAATTCCGCCAAGGCAGACTCACCACAACAACGGCCAGGCTCACAGCACACTACAGACAGCGATGGTCTGTCATGCTGCAGCGCTCCCAGGCCACTTCTTTCCTGAACAAGTCAAACCTAGGGGACGAGGCAGCATTCACCCAGGCAGGAAAGGACCCATGGGAGCCAAGCCTCGGGGACCTTTGGCAGGTCCTAGAGGACGAAGTATAGAGGGGGTTAGAGGGGTATCAGGGGATAGACACGGCTTAGCTTGAGGAGTGCTGGTCTGCCAGCCTGCTATGCCTGCTATGCTAGGCTTTGCTTGCTCCTGCCATGCCCGGCCTTGCTTGCCTGCCTTGTTCTTCTCGCTGGCCCCGACTTGTTCTCCTTGCCTGCCCTGCCTTGTTCTCCTTGTCTGTTTGCAGATGTCCTGCCCACAGCACGTACCTGCCTTGCATGCTTGGTTGCTTCAATGCCTAGGTCTGTCTAGCACCTATCCCTGCCTTGCCTGTACCCCTATGAACCTATCAATGAAGGACTGCTTGAGAGAGAGAGAGAGAGAGAGAGAGAGAGAGAGAGAGAGAGAGAGAGAGAGAGAGAGAGAGAGAGAGAGAGAGAGAGAGAGAGAGAGAGAGAGAGAGAGCTTTAACATGGAACGCGTTCCAGGCGGCGGCATGGAGGGCTTTAACACAGCTCGATGAGAATGCTGATCCGGAAGAGAGAAATGACCCCTCTTATAGGGAGGAGGCACAAGCGCCGAGCAGCAGTAGCGAGGAGGAAAATGAGCAGGAGTTAGAGCAATTGTCAAGACGAGGCGGAGGAAGCCAGAGAGGAACGCCTCTGCAATCAGGAACCACACGGGGACTGCAGGATGCCGATCGGACGGCCACTATTCCAACCCCGCCTTCAACTCGTGGTAGGGGCCGCGGTCGTGGAAATCGGACCGCGAGGGGACAGGCGAGTGCGGCTCGCCAGGTTCAAATTCCCCGCTACTTTTCGCCAGAGGAGCTGGCGAGGCAGGCTGACAAATTTGCCGAAGTGGCAGACTGGGATATTTCGCTACTCTGCGATAGTCGCCAACCCACGCTGTTACGATGGCTACCGCCAAATTTGTGCAAGATTTTCTCGCTCGTGGTACTGACACCCCTTCTACACCTTTCGCGAAGCCCTGACTCCATCGCGGGATGGAAGTTACTCCTATTTCTCCCTCGCCTAACACTGCGTCAAGCCTCGCCGAGACGCCCGGATTGGCCCAATATCAAAGCCCGCCTCCGATCATTCCAACGTGGCGAATGGCAACAGCTGTACTTGGACGCGGTGGAGGCAGTCAATACACCACCCCCGCCACGTCACCAGTGAGACGACGTGGGAACCATCAGCAAAGCAGAGGGCCTGGCGAAAAAGGGGAGCTTGCGCCGAGCCGTGATGGCGCTCGAGTCAACGCCAGTCTGTACTCCCAGTCCAGAAATCCTGGACGAACTCCAACGCAAGCACCCACCGGCCGACCCTGACCCTTTGACCTGGCCAGTCAACACAGACCCTGTCAAACTCGAGATTGCATACGCGGATTTTTCGAAGCTGCTGAGCCGATGCGAGAACGGCGTGGGGGCCGGTCCGAGCGGGATGACATTTGAGCATTTACGCGATGCGTCAGTAACAAACGCATCCGTCTCCACCCACCTGCACGCCTTGGTTAACACGATCCTGAAAGGAAACCTGCCACATCAAGTCGCGGAATTACTCACATCTTCCCGCTTGATTGCCCTAGCCAAACCTGAAGGGGGGGCTCGCCCAATAGCAATCGGCGAATGTTTGACGCGATTGGCGGCAAAGGCTGCACTGACGACCCTGGGCGAAGCGGCGCGTGGCTATTTTCTTCCGCTACAGTACGGTGTGGCTGTGCCAGGGGGAGCAGAGGCAATCATACACAGCGCACGTGCATACACTGACAATCACCCCAACTGCCTCATCCTGCAAACTGACATCTCCAACGCCTTCAATAGCATCTCACGGCAAGCCATAGTGACAGCACTACAGGACCCCGCCCTATCACCGCTACTGCCCTTAGTGAAACTGACCTACGGCAACCCATCTCCAACGCCTTCAATAGCATCTCACGGCAAGCCATAGTGACAGCACTACAGGACCCCGCCCTATCACCGCTACTGCCCTTAG